CTTGTCCCACTATCATGCTCAGTCTTCATTTGGGTTTCAGTAATTCCTCTCAGTTACATTGCCCTTGATCAAGCCCTACCAAGCCTCCTACACCCTCCTCACCACTGATTTTGGATCACTTGTTGTTCCCTTGTCCCTGAGTTTGTTAACACTACTTCCTTTCCTCCCACCTCACCCTCTCCCATGTACCCCCGGGATGTACAGCCACTATAGAAATCGATTTGGTGATATCTGAAACAGATGGAAATCGAGCTCGATTTCCATACGACCCAGCAATCCCCCTACTGGGCACATACCCAGAAGAGGCGAGAAACAAACCATGGCCAGACATCTGTGCTCCAGTGTTCATCGTGGCACAGTTCACAATTGCAAGTAGTTGGAAACAACCCAAATTTCCATCAGCTGATGAATGGATGAAACAACTGTGGTACATACATACAATGGAGTACTATGCATCGCTAAAAAGCAGTGACTAACGTATGAAGCACATCACCGCATGGGAAGAACTTGAGGAAATTATACTAAGTGAAATAAGTCAAGTATAAAAGGACAAGTACAACATGAGTCCGCTGAGGGAAAGAGGGACCAGACTTCAACCCAGTGCTCCAAGATGTGAGTGCAGCATACCGGCTTGGAGTAGGGAACCAGTGGAGAGGTCTCAGGGGCTGGCCCCAATCCCAACTACATGGACAGATTCCCCACCCCTCAGAAGGATTTATTTCAGAGGACAGCACTGAAGCTGCAGCTCAGGGAGAGGGACATGTCTGATCAGAGTACAGGGAGCAAATGAAGGGGAAGGAAGAGAGAGTGGAGCACATCCTGGTCCACCTAGTCTTGAAAATATCCCCGCTCAGAGCAGCCAATCCACAGAGAAGACCATATGGCCAGCTCCACTATGAGGCATGACATCCCTCACTGACCCATAGCCCTATAGGAGACAACACTGGAGACACAGTGTGGGCATTGGGCCCAACCTGATCCCACCACACCGAGGCAAAACACTAAGGGCGTGCAACAGAACAGCAAGGGGAACAGAGCAAGGAAGTCCCCAGGGAACTAGACTTTGGGGCCAGGGCGTGGCACCCTGTCAGACTCAACTGGAAAACATCCTAAAGACCAACAAACAGTCCTTGAACTATCTACAGGCTTTTCTCTTTTTGTCTTTTTTGTTGTTGTTTTGTTGCTTTGTTTTGCTCTGTCTTGTTTTTGTGCATGTTATTATCTCCACAGGTCTGTCTAAATAAGATAGGCTGGATGAACAATCTGGAGGTGAAAAAAATAGGCACAATTAAGGATGTTTATTGGGGTTACCACAGCCATGATCAGTAATAGTAGGGAGGCACTTATTGGTCCAGAGCAATACTTCTTCTCAGCCAACAGCCAACTCTCTCCTGTTCTCAGCCTCTCAGACACAGGGCTCCTTGGCCTCTGCCTCTATGGGCTGGGGAGTCTGCTGCTCAGCCTCACAGTCCCATCGTCTCAGCGCTGCTCCCCTGTTCTGTCTCATGGTCTCTTAGCCTCAGCCTCTCGTGTCACTAGTCTTGGTCTCTGCTTCTTCAGAGATTCAAAAGTGCTTCACTTCCGGTGGACCCGGGCTTTGTCTCTCTGTGTGCTCCTGCGCGCTATGAAGATGGCGCATCCTTATCGTCAGGAGTATGACAACTAAAACAGGCCAAGCCCCCGTATGAGTGTTACCAGTGCCGTTTGCATAGTCCCACCCAGTCCTCTGGTGAGTTACAGAGATATGAATTTTTGTTGTTGTTGTTGTTAAGTGCTATTGAGTTAGTTCTGACACTGTAACCATGTGGACAACAGAACAAAACACTCCCCAATCCCGTGACATTCTCACAATTGTTATGTTGGAACGCATTGTTGTAGCCACTGTGTCAGTCCATTAAAGGTACCCGAAAATAAGACAGTGTCTTATATTAATTTTTGCTCCCAAAGATGCGCTAGATCTTATTTTCAGGGGATATCTTATTTTTCCACGAAGAAGAATACAGTACACATTTATTGTTTTTTATTGTTTTATTAAAAGAGACCTTGCACTTCCTGTCTGCTCCGGCTGCACTGCGGCTAACAGTGAGCTGCACAGCGGTGCCCTCTACTGAGGTCCAGAGTCCAGAGTTACGGTAGCTTTGGGGGGGCCTTATTTTCTGGGAGGTCTTATTTTCAGGGAGATGCCTTATATTTCAGCAAGAGGTAAAACTGTAGGTAGGTCTTATTTTCGGGGGATGTCTTACTTTCTTTGTTGAGGACCTACTCATTTCACTGCCCATCTACTTTGGCAAGCATGATGTCTCTATCTTGACAACATGTCCAAAGTCCATGAGACCAAGTCTCTCCACTTTTGCCTCTCAGGAGCCCTCTGGGCATACTTCTTCCCAGATAGATTTGATAGTCCTTTGAGCAATCCATGCTACTTTCACTATTCTTCTCCAGCACCAGAATTCAAATGCATTGATTATTCTTTGGCCTTCCTTATTCAACGTCCAACTTTCACATGTACATGAAGTAATGGAAGATACCATGACTTGGGTCAGGCACACATCAGTCCTCAAGGTACCATCCTTGCTTTTGAACACTTTAAAGAGATGGTGTGCAGCAGATGTATCCTAGGCAAGGCATCTTTTGATCTCTTGACTGCTGCTTCCGTGAGCATGGATTGTAGAGCCAAGCAAGACGAAACCCTTGACACATTCACCCTGCTCTCTGTTTTTCATGACATGACCTATCCATTTAGTTGTGAGGGTTTGGGCTAGACGGGGCATATGAGGACAACTCACTCTACCTCCGTTGCATGTGCATGTGTACCATCCTTTGTCTATGTGTCCCTCCAGCAACAGATGGCTCTCCCCACTGCCTCTTGCTGTTGTGAAACTTGTCAGGGCAGCTTCGCTCATCGGGTTCCTGCTGTAGGGTTGGCCCTGAGTCACTAGGCGAGCAGGGTGGTGGTCCTGTATTCTCGGTGTTGTCTAGTCAGCCAATCCCTATAGTCCTGCATGTCATGGTAACAAAGGGGCTTCAGAAAGTTCCTGGGGGGAAATCCCATGATCTCTTATTCCACGATCCTTTCACCTCACTATACAGTGAAGCATGTAAGAGCCAGAACTCGATGGGTCTGCCTCATTTCCCTGAGTCTCACCAGTTTCCCACTTTTGATGGAATATGTTTGTCCCACTTCTCCACCACCCTCCTTCAGTGGGAAGTGTTACCACTGTCCTTCTCTGACAGGGACCTGCCTTCTTTGGCTCTGGTTCTGATGGCTTTTCCAGGTTGGACTGTTGCTAATACCCTGGGATGAAGGCTATGCCCTTCCCAGAACCCCTGGGTGGAGACACCCTCGAGGTTGAAGGCCACTCAGAAGTGCCTCGGAAGAAAGGTCTGGTGGTCTCCTTGAGGGAACTGTCCCTCTCAAAACTCACCACCATCAACTCAATTCTGGCTCACAGTGACCCTGTGGGACAGACTAGAACTACCGCTGTGGGTTTCTGAGACTGTAACTCTTGATAGGAGTAGAAGGCCTCTTCTTCCACCAGAGCAGCTGGTGGATTTGAACTGTTGGCTTTGTAGTTAGCAGCCTAGTGCCTGACCCACTGCACGACCAGGACACCTCAGTCACAGGAACACAGTTCCACTCTGACACATCCAACTTGGTCAGGAGTTGGCATTGACCTGATGACACTTGATTTAAAAAAAAAAATTAACTGGTTGTTTTTCTTTCTAGGAGTCCTGGTGGCATGGTGGTGACTCACTGAGCTTTGAGGTGCAAGCTCAGCATTTAGAAACCACAAACCTGCTCCAAGGGCAAGGGCTTTCTAGTCCTGTGAAGTGTACAGCCACGAGAACTCACAGGGGCCCTTCTACCCTGCCCGCTAAGGTTGCTCTGAGTTGGCATGGACTTGATGGCAGTGGGTTTTTCAGTCTAGGGCTGGGTTGACTTGATGCAAGCTGTGTTGTTGGATACAATAGGAACCCAGAGATGCAGAAACTGGCCTCCTTTTGCCTTTCAGTATCCGGAGCGTGATGCAGAAGTACCTTGAGGAACGGAAGGAACTCACCTTTGATAAGATTTTCCATCAGAAGATTGGTGAGTCCTGCTCATACTGGGGGGCACTCAGTTGTTTTCAGAGGGATGCATGCGTGTGGTCCCTATTAGTTGATAAGGAGCCCTGATGGCGCTTTGGGTTAAGCCTTATTGGGCTGATAACTGAAAGGCCAGTAGTCCAAAATGCACCAGCCACTCTGAGAGAAAGATGAGTTTGTGAGCTCCTATACAGATGGACAGCCTCAGAAAGGCTAGGAATTGGTTCTACCCTGCCCTGTAGGGTGGCCAGGAGTCCGAATGGATTTGAGAACAGTGGGTTTTAGTTTATTTTCTGCATGCTTTGTAGCTAAGGCTGGGAATGATGAAAATGCCAAGCACTTGCCAAGATGCATAATGATTATTTACATGCCTAATAATCCATCTTGTGAATGAATGCTTGGGAAACAGACAAGTTGGGTTCTATTTTAAGGCAGTTTGGCAGGGGCCCCAAATCAAAGGGTTGGATGCTCGTTTGCTTGCCCATAGCAGACATGCACATACTGCCCTTCTTTGAGGCTATCTTACACTGTGATGATAGAGATGTGGTACATCGGGTTATGCGTTGGGCTACTGAATAAAAGTTTGGTGGTTCAAGCCCACCAGCCATTCCCTGGTAGAAAAATGAGGCTGTCTGCTCCTGTAAAGACTCACACCTTCAGAAAACCCACAGGGGCAGTTCAACTGCGTCCTCTAGGGTCACTGTCAGTGAGAATCAAGTGGGTGGAGGGAGTTTGGCTTTGACAGGGTCTGGTCTGCAGAACCAGTGTTCCACTCCACTCCTGTGACTGGTTCCATCTCCTTCCCTGGGTGAGGCCGGGGAGTTAATCTCACTGGCGTCCAACAAGTCAGATGGGATGACTGTCATCCCAGCAATGGAATGCCGACCATCCCTTCTTCCTCTCTGTGTCTCCTCTAACATCCTTTCTTCTCCCCTAACCCTTAGGAATGCTGTCCTTGGTTGGCTCTTGAATGGCTGATGATGTTAGGGCATGGCTTGAATGACCACTACACCACCAGTTTTTCTGATTCTTGTGACTGTTTGGAATCTCTTCCTAGCAGGCCATAAGGACTTCATTGCATATGAGCTTTTTGAAGCCCCTAGCAGTAGGAGCTCGGGGGGCATAGTGGTTACATGTTGGGCTGATCACCACAAGATCAGCAGTATGAAACTACCATCTGCTTGGAGGGAGGAAGACTTGGCTCTTTACGCCCGTCAAGAGAGACCGTCTCAGAAGCCCACAGGGGCGGTTCCACTCTGTCCTATGGGGTGGCTATGAGTTGGAATTGACTCGATGGCAGTGAGTTTGCTTTTTAATATAGATAGTGGGGGTGGTGTTCACCCTGCTTCTTCCCACTGCCCAGGCGGTTCTGACCGGTGTAGTCGTGCTGTGCACAGGGAAGCCTTGTTGTTGCTGGGTGCTGTCAGTCTGGGGAGAACTGTCCTATTTGGCGGGAACTCCACAGACAATGGATGTCTACAATAACCACACCCGTCATCTCACTGCACCCAGTCCTGGGCTGTCTCTTTGTAGGAGCAGACTACCAGGTCCCTTTTTCCCGCAGAAACGCTGGTGGGTTTGGGCTGCAGCCTTTTGGTATAGCACCCAAGCACTCAACCACTGTGCCACCAGGGCTCGGCAGCTACCTTGAAGTCATTGGAGGAAGAGCTGTGAGGAATGTGCACATTGCCTTATGTGGAGTCCGAAGGTAAAGAAATGAAGTGGGGGTTACGTGTGATCTCCTCCAGCTTCTTGAAAGGGCAGGGGAATCCAACTTCACATCTTCCCAAGGTTGACCCCCATGAGGCAGAGATTAGACATGCCTTCATTGTCCAACGTCTTTATCAGTTATGACCCTGTCCCTTCCATGACGCTGTACTTCTCCACTGGGTGATCAGTAATGGTCACACATAACTCATAGGCAATACCACAATTAGGCCTTTCTTTTAGGGAAGCTAACAGGTTACAAGTCAGGATCAGAATGTCAAGGATACAGTTCTTTTGTCCTTAGTGCCTCTTCTCAGCTGTGCCGGCAGGCACGTGCGTCTCTCTCTGCTCCTCGGACTCTCAGCCTGCTGGCCGCTGCGCTGCTCCAGCAAGTGCTACTTGAGAAGCCCCTTTACTCTGCTGGTGCCTGAAGGCCCAGCTTTTCCTGCTCTGGGGGCTGAGAAACCCAACTCTCTGTCTCACGCTCTCAAGGCCACTGCCTCTTGGTGTAGGTCCCTCGGCTTCAGAGAAGCCCTCTCCTCTTGTAACTCTTCTCTCTGGGTAGTTGTGAAATTTTCAATCCCTGCTTTTGGAATGCCTCCCTGAATACCCAGCAGCTTGGCAAAATGAACCAATCTCCCTGCTAAAGTCCCAAAGCCCCAATTTGCATGCTTCTACCCACTCGGTCATTTGGTGGAAACTCTGAAGACACTGGATGGCTATAATAACCACAGCTGTCATCTCACTGCACCAGAAAAGGACCTTCAAGGAGACAACAAGGGAGAGTGTTCCCGGCTGCCTTCTCAAAGGTTCATTTTAAGACGGCCACCTGCATGTTCGGTACACACTGTACTCTACCTGCTTTGCTTCATTTTCATTCCCACAGAACAAATCCTCTCATCCAGAGGTTTCTTCAGCAAGACCAAAGAACATGAGGATTCCACCCACTCTTTGAAGGCCCCTTGTGTTTTGCTGGAAACTAGGGTAGGAGCTTGGTTGTCAGACGACCTGTCGAGCTGGGACCATTGGCTAGATAACCCTGCGGCTTGGACCTGAAACCAGCACAGCTGAACAGAAGAGGGCTGCATGGTCCTCTCTCCCTCCCTCTGGCTCTGGCCCCCACCCTCTCCCCCTCACTCCCCACCAACTCTCTGCATCACAGTCTTTCAATGATTTAAAAGCAGGAGGAAATGGCTTCACTACCATCTCAAGACATTAGGATCTTCTTACTGCTCCCTGGAGCTCCATTTCTGATCCTAATTCTGTTTCTGTGGTGTGATTCGTCGACAGAGTCCAGTGGGCCTAGCTGTGTCACTGAGGTCTGGGTAATGCCAGGTATGTTAGGCTGGGTTCTCTAGAGAAACAAAATCAGTCAGGTTTCTATGTGTCTGACCGTAGAAAGGAATTTAGGTTAAGAGATGGCTCACACAGTTGTAGATGTGGGCAAGTCTAGTCCGGCTCAAATCCATGGGTCCGATGTCAGCTGGAGGTTTCTCCTGACTTAGGAGCTGCCAGGCTGACAAACAGGGATGCAGGAAGATGAAGCAGGGACGCCACAGGCTGGTGGATGCAGAGCTGAATCAATCCAAGGCTGACTGAATGAATCCCAGTGAATGACACAGCGGCTGCAATGATGGGCTGCTAAATAAGAACAATTGTGAGGATGGTGCAGGACTAGGCAGTGTTTCATTTGTTGTATATTGGTTGATGTTATGCTAAGCAAACTTAGGACACCTAGAGTATCAAAAACAAAAGTGAAGGGGGAAATACTTATGCATGAAGCCTCTGGTGAATCCCCCTTAGGTGTTCTAAGTTTGTTTAGAATAACATCAAACCAACGTACACCGAATGCAGCCACTGTGTCAATCACTGCCCCTCTACTTTATCAAGATGTCCAGATCCTGTCTTTATATATATATTTTTTCATTTTCATTTTATTTTGTTTTTTAAATCATTTTATTGGGGGCTCATACAACTCTTATCACAGTCCATACAACCATCCATTGTGTCAATCACATTGGTACCTTTGTTGCCTTCATCATTTTCAAAGCATTTTCTTTTTACTTGAGTCCTTGGTATCAGCTCCTCATTTTTTTCCCCTTCCTCACCCTTCCTCCCTCCTGAGCTTTTGATAATTTATAAATTGTTATTCTTTTTTCATGTCTTACACTGCCCGATGTCTCCCTTCACCCACTTTTCTGTTGTCCATCCCCCTGGGAGTGGGTTATAGGTAAGATCATTGTGATCGGTTCCCCTGATCTCCCCCCACCTTCCCCTTCTCCTCCTGGTATGACTACTCTCAATATTGGTCCTGAGGGGTTTATCTGTCCTGGATTCCCTGTGTTTCCAGCTCTTAACTCTACCAGTGTGCATGCTCTGGTCTAGCTGGATTTGTAAGGTAAAATTGGGGTCATGATGGGGGGGGGCATTAAAGAACTAGAGGAAACTTGTATGTTTCATCGGTGCTATACTGCACTCTGACTGGCTTGTCTTCTCTCCACCACCCTTCTGTAAGGGGATGTCCAGTTGCCTACAGATGGGCTTTAGGTCTCCACTCTGTACTCCCCCTCATTCACAATGATAGGATTTTTTGTTCTGGGTCTTTGATGCCTGATACCTGATCCTATCAACACCTTGTGATCACACAGGCTGGTGTTGTGCTTCTTCCATGTGGGCTTTGTTGCTTCTCAGCTAGATGGCCACTTGTTTATCTTCAAGTATTGGCCAGTATTTTGTTAAGGATTTTTTAATCAATTTTGATTAGGGATATTGGTCCATAGCTCTCGATCCTTGTGGAATCCTTGTCTGGCTTCGGTATCAGTTACACTAGCTTCATAGAAAGAGTTTGGGAGTTTGCCATCTTTTTCTATGTTCTGGAAGAGTTTGTGTAGGATTGGTGTTAGCTATTCCCTGAATCCTTGGTAGAATTCTCCTGTGGTAATCCCTTGATAACCTTGTCTATTTTTTCTATGGCAATGGGTTTGTTGAGATTCTTGATGCCTGTCCTGGGTAATCTAGAGAGGGATTATTTTTCCAAGAATTTGTTCATGTCTTCCAAGTTGTTGAATTCATTGGATTACAGTCCTTTGTAGTACAGTGTAATTATCCTTTTGATTTCATTAGGGTCAGTTGTAATGTCCCCTTTTTCATCCCTCATCCTTGCTTATGTTTACCATAAACATAAGGTCTTATAGCTGGACGCTGAGCTTTTGATCTATAAGTTAGTGCTATGCCAACACCATGGTGTCTCATGGTAGTTGCCTAGAAGGATTTGAAATTGGGAAGTGGGAAATCCTC